ACCTGTACACCGCACGGGTCAAAAGGAGGGCAGAGAGGATCACTGCAGACCCCTCACACCCCGGACACAATCTGTTTGAACTCCTCCCCTCTGGATGGTGTTACAGGTCACTGTGCACCAAGACAACCAGGCACAGGGACAGTTTCTTCCCACGGGCCATCACACTGATGAACACTTAACCCACACCAGTATGATTGGACACTAACCCTCAGTGCAATACCTGTGTGTATATATACATTGTCCAGATCATACAGACTCGTACAGGTTTCTAGTTTTAAGTACTCTATCTTTATCCCTTATCCCTATTTATCTCATTTTAATGAACATTCCTTTGTTGTCTGCATTGTTTACTGTCTATTTATACTGCTTTTTCTCCATTGTTTGCACTGGTTGTTGATGTTAATACTGCTATTTTGTTATATTACACAGTTATATTACACAGCCTTATGCTGGTTTACTGTTTGCACATTGAGAGCCGATGTACCTGAGTCAAATTCCTCGTGTGTCCATCACACCTGGCCAATAAAACTGATTCTGATTCTGAAATGGAGACGATACAATGTACATGTAAAATCAATCAAAAAATAAAGTTCCTGGGTGGTTCAGATAATGAAAACAAATGCAGGATGAAAAAAATATTGAGAGATGAAATAACAGTGATGGAAGGACAAGGCAGAGATAATGTATAGGTACAGTATGTCCAAGAATTTGAAATCCCCTACCCATGTCAGTCTCCTTAAATAGATTAGGAAAGGGATCAAACAAAAATATATGAAGAGGAAATGTTACATTTAATGACAATGGTTGGGGTAGGGGTATTAAAACATGCTATAGATTGAGGAATTTAAAGAAAACAGACAGGAGAGAATGTTGGGTCTACCTGGCCAGCCACTGATGGACTCAGGAGGACACATGTGCCTTGGTTCTGCTGAGCCTGAAGGACAACCAGAGCTGTTTATTCCTAAATGACTTCTCCTCGTCTCTTTCTTTCTCTCTCCTCTCTTTCTCCTTCTCATTTTTACTCTCCCTCTTTCCATCTGTTTGTTAGTTTGCAACATCAGCTGTTCTCCAGCCACACTGAAATGACCCCTCAAGGAAATGTAATCCTCACAGTGTGTGTGTTTGGTTGAGCACATAAAATGCTTATGTACTGTTCTCACATGTATTGTATTCTGCAGGTTCAACCAACTGAAACTGCCCACTTCTGCGTTTATGTCCTTAAGTATTTGTTAAATCATTTTATTATATGGTATGAGTCAATACATTAAAATGTAAAGATGTAATATTTTCAGAAAGTAAGCACAAAAGTGATGTATACTTGTTTGTATACACTACATACCCACATTACATTTTAATATGTTAATTATATTGTAAAAACTGTCTATCACATCACAACTATAATTTCTGATAGATGTTGCAACTTTATCACAGGTGAAGGCAGCTTTCATTATCAGTCCCTTACCTATCTTTAGGTTACTTGCATATCCTCAAGTCTGTGAACTGTCTTCAGTTCAGCAGTTTTTTTTTTCTTTCACTGTTTTGGCTGGTTTCCACACAGTAAATTCTGCGGTACTAGCCAGCATGCATTGGTTTAGCTACACCTAGCAAGCTAACAGCAACACCAGCAGTCACCTTACTGCATATGCTCCATCAGAAATGGTAGACAAAAAGGGAACAAAATCAATTTTATTTATCCTATGTCTTTTGCGTACATCAAAAGCTATTTGCACATAACACATTAGCTGCCAGGAATGAAATAAAATTTCAGTTATGAGTCATAGCGCCAATGAAACCAGCAAAACCTTTAAATGTAGCAAAACTTGGTTTGTCCATGATGAGGGAAGTTGCTGTATATGTAACCATTTAGAACATTAGAAACTAGCATCCATTTTACTACATTTGGTCTTACATAGCTTAATAAATACTACTTCTAGCATGTTGCTTTCAAGCTCTGTTACGCAGCTAGCATTATCCAGTTGAGATGAGGCACGATAACTACTTCACAGAGAACAGTGAAATGAAGCCCTTAGCCATCCGTTCCTTTATATATATTTTATAATATAAAAAGGGCTGTTTTATTTTTCACACCAAATATAAGGCCAAGACCCATTCACAGTTCACTTGTTATGTTCCTACAGCCACATTCACAGTCAGCCCTGTGGTTTTTCTTCAAGGCCAGAGCCATACATTTTTGTCATACCAGTGCTAGTTAGCCCCATTTCCTCTATTTACTGTTTTTAAAGATGGCTCAGGCTTTGTGTGAGGTGTGACATGAGGCCTGGCAAACACTTCAAATCTGTAATGGCTATTGCGCTTTTCTGAAAATGAATCCTCAAAGTGAAAATGTGAAATTTCAAACCCTTTGGACATTTCATACTGAGTCTCAGGCCAAATGGGTGGGTGCAAAACACGGTGACACGAATCATGTTAGTTTTTACAACAAGGGATCAATTTCACAGTTTGTCTAAGAAATGACAAATAATCCTATAATACTATATCTGCTTGATCTCCTTAAGTCTTTTTATTGCTTTTTCTTTCACTTTTTGATTGTATGGTCATTACAGTTTCACAGGATTATTATCCATTCACCATCCTGACCTTCGTACTCGTTCTTGTTTATATTTACATTTATATAATTTTCATCTTTGCATTCATTCACTTTGGGAGCCAGCAAAAGACTTGAAATACAAAAATGCATAGCACAGAACAACTATTTAAACTTTTTTCACCGTTGTAGATGGAGCATATATCTATATTGACTCTGTCTGAATTTTTTCTCTCCTCAGGACAACTATACATTTGCCCAGCCAGGCATCCAGAGGAAAGTCAAGGTCCTGGAGGAGCTGGTCAGCAGGATTGATGGTGAGTCATCTGTGTTGTCTCCATCCATCCATCCCTCCACCCATCCATAAATATTTTCTGCTCACAGTTCTACCATTTTGACTTGATTTTCATTTACTTCTTCTCATCGTTCCTGTTGATTCTTTTTTCTTTTCATTTAGTCAGCACCTTATCCATCTTTTTCCTTTTCTTCTTTCTTTTCTCAAACACAACAAGCAACATTCATGCAGGCTTAAAAATACATTCAAAATCACAGTCCTTTTCAGGGTTGTTTGTTTTACTGTAACAATGGAAGACAGTGTTATTCATTCACAAATGTTCTTATTTTTTCTTTTCGATTTGTTTTTGAGAAAAAAAACAAAAGCTGCACAAAATGTTTATCTATTTTCCCACTGTCCGTTGTTTTATTTACTGTTTTTTGTATTAGTATTGTTATTGTTATTATTACTACGATTATTAAACTAACCACAAACCAATGTATACAAGTATACATTCTGTTTCTGCTTATTTGGAGTCAGACAAGTGAAGTCTTAACTTGTGCATATTGCATGTATGAACATTTCAAATACCAGGTCTTTTGTACTTTCCTTGCCTCTGTCATTTTACTTGAGTGCTTGAGTAAGGCTATGTTTAGCTCCTGTGTGTATGTATGTTGCAGAGAGGTGACAACAATGATTGGACAGCACTTGTCATGCCTAAATGTCTTAAACTTTGTTGTGATATATATTCTAGCTGGGACCAGGAATTAAAAAACATATCAAAGAAGAAAAAAGTTATGTCATTGCCCTAATGAGGATATATCCCCAGAACCTCAACTTGCAACTTTTCTTAACAATTCTTTGATAGGTTGAATTCTTGCCTTAGATACACACCAGGAAATAACATTTGCTTTCACACCTTGATTCTTCCGGAGTTTGTAATGACATGATGTTGCGGTTGCATTTCACAAATTCTCATTCCACTTGGCTTTAGGGGAAATGTGTATGTGCTGGTGATTATTAGTCCAAAGCAATATTTTGCTGAGCTATGGAAGTAATTATATGCACACAGAGTGTACTTATACACAGCTCAATGACATTTCACATAGACTCGCAACTTAGTGTTAATTAGCAAAGCTGCTTTTCCCTTCTGTATCCCCTGTCCAATTCCCATTTTGTCATAATGCTAAGTTTGTAAATATAAGCCAATTTTCTTTTAACTATTCACATTTGCCTTTGTTGCTTCTAATGCATATGGTGCTTGCTACAAACAGCAATGCGTTGTGGAAAAACAAGGTCCTATCAAAGCCATTCTTTGTACAGTGGTCATGTTCTTGGCTGACCTTGGTGTTGTCTGACTATCCTGTCACCCGCTCAGCCAGAGGGAAGGGAAGACTCACTCTCTGCATTCAAATGGATGGAGAGAGCGCATGGAGTGTGTGTGTATGAATGTCAAAGAAAGTTTATGTGTATATGCAGGGCTGTCTGTTTGCTTGTGGTATTGTGACTGGTAAACTTGCCAATAGAAAATACATGTGTATGGGTGTCAGTGTTGGTGCATGTTCCCAGCTGTTTGTGAAAAAGAAAGTGATACATTTTATCAGGCATCTGTTTATTTTTGTAACTTTGTGAGAAGATTGCATGTATGTGTGAGTCAAATATGATTTGGGATTGAAATAAATTGGCGCAAAAGAAAACAAAAGCAAAGTCATAACACCATTCGAGCTCCACCATACCACAGCAAAGACATAAAAAATGGCTCGACATTTTTACTGTATCTTATTCCATAAATGCCCTGTCATCAGAGTTGAGTCAGAGCCATTTTATACCTCACTAGCCTGACATTTACCACCTCTAATGAGATCGCAGATAGCTTTTATCTTGCGTTACAGGATTGTTTTTCACCTGTGTCAACATAGCATCTGTTTTGGGAACAATGACCTCTCATCTATTCCAGAATTACCAGTCAGCAATTTTCACATGCAGGGTTATCCAATGATGTGTATTTTGATTAAGGTAGTGCTCTTGTCTACGCATTTACCAATACTGTTGAATCTCAAGTTATAGAATCAGATTTGTATGTTTTTTTATTAGTTGTTTTGTTTTGTTTTTTTTCAGATTATTAATCCATTACATTACCAGCAACAATAGCACCCAATTGAGTCAAGTCATTAATTTTAGATCCGTTGGAGAAAACTAGCTGCAAAATGAATGAATCTATTTTCTCTATTAGAAAGAGCTAGCAACCCTCCACAAAAGGCATAAGAAATAGTACAACTTTAACTATGAGACTTTGGTATTCTATTCAGCCTTGTATGAATTGGCTGTCTGATACAGTGGCATTAGTAGTGGATGGTATTTGTTTCAACAATGGGAGGAGAGACAAGGATGGCAGAAAGGAGGAATCTGACCTCAGCCCAATATTTCAGTGCATTAATGCTTGCAGTACTGCAGGGATGGGCAAATTCTGATCTCTGTCTTACACATCCTTCTCTATCACCTTCTTTCTGCTCCTCTAAAATGTCTACATCTAGTGCCTCCTATACAGCATATGGTAGGTAGTTAGAACTTTATTGATCCCACAGTGGGGAAATTCCAGTGTTCCAGCAGCAGTAAAGGAAAAAACAGCATGATACCATAAGAATAAAATCACCATAAGAATAATATCTGTCAGATGTAGAGCGAACATACCTAAAGGTGCAGCCACTCAGGATTGCACTCCCCAGCTGAATGGCTTTCAGCTGGTGTGCAGTTCCCATGAACCTTCCAGGAGCCCCCTTCTCCTGTTGCCTGATAAGGCGTGTGTAGACTCCACAGTAAGCATACCATCAAATAGCTATTCCTTGATTTGCACCATTAGATGGGGCTTTGTTCTCAAAGACACACAAACCAGCATGTGACTGCCTGAAGTGTTGTATTCACACTGCAGAGTCGTGTTTTTGTTTAGGCCACAGTTTATACAATAGAATTGTCTGACCATAATTGTTATCAAGGTACTGCACCAGATAAATAATTATTACCTGTTACACTGGGTTTCACATTTCTAGTCAAATATTTATTAAACATGGTTAACATGTTTAAGTTCCTTTATGAAATGGGAAAGTATTTTAGAAAGAATAAGAAAACTTTTTGTGAACATTTATTTTAATGCAACAGCTCAGCAGTGGCTCTGGGGTGGAGTGGTTGCCTCTAAACTGGCAGGTTGGAAGTTGAAGTGTCTTTGGGCAAGAGACGGAACCCCAAGTTACTCCTGATGGCCAGAGCAGTGCCCTGATGGGATCGCACCATCATCAGTGTATGTGTATGTGACTTGGCGCTGTTGGCTGCTTCAGTTGTGTACTGGGGACAGTACAGAACTGTGCATATAACATACTCGGCCAAAATAAAGTGATTATTATCACGCCTGCCTCCTCCTGTCATAACCCCGCAGTTATGTGGACTTTGTGAAACAATACTGTCAATACAGGTTCATTAAAACACAAGGGGCAGGACAGGGGTTTAACAGCCATGTATCATGGCACTGTCTTAATGTACAGATTACTATTTTATAGCCTACTTGTTCAGTCAGAGAAGCAAGTGGGGAGAGTGGGGACAGTGACAAAGGCATAAAGCGCAGCTTTGTCTCTCAAGCTGCTTCAGTTTGAATCCTCCTTGAATTTAGCTGGTGTCATTTTTCCATTTTGCTATCTCTTAACCAAGACCTGTGAGAGTCTTTGGCTGGAAGATCTGATATTTTGGTGGAAAAAATACATTGGCTGACATGTTACTGACAATGTAGTACCAACAAAGCAAAAGACACATTAACTGTAGGTATAGTGCTGACAGAATGCAGTGAAATGACGCTCCTCCACCTACTGGCATAATCTGGTTGAAATTAATAAATTTTGCATTATTGTGAGCACTTGAAGATCCAGTTATCAGTATGTCCTGTAAAATGGAATGCTCTAAGTTGTGATAATAAAATTTAAGAGGTTGATTGATTCACAACATCAATTCAAATAGTGCACACTCTGATGCGCAATTGGCACCTGTGAGTGTTTGTGTTTTGTTCAGCCACATATATGATGATGTGGATGGTTCACAGCGATACAGTTTAGTTTCAACTACAGACCCCATTTACAGAAGGCAAATGACAAACTCAGATCATCCAGACTGACATACTAGAGCATAATATAGGAGGGGCCATGGAGACAAACATCAGATGTGATGATCAGCAGCAGAAACATACTTTACATTTAACTTAAGTGATGCTGGGATTTAAACAGACTATTTGACCTGTTTTACCTGTGAGTGATCATTTGTAGGTCTATATGACATAAGCAGGGCACAGGATGGCCAAACCTTGGTATATGCTGACCAGTCGCGAGCCCAAAGTTACTTTGCTCATTTTTACGAGATACTTTCACATTAAATGATTTTTATTAGGACAAATTGTATTTTCTTGTTTTAACCACATACTGTAGGCTATTTTATAAATGAGGTCTTACAGATGATTCTAAAGCCATGTCACATCTGTGAGAGTTGTGGGAATTATTTGATTTATTTTTTCTTAACTTAAGTGCAGTTGTGATTTTATTTGTAAAGAAGCTCATGAAGTCATTGCTGCTGAGATCTAAGGGAATGTTACGCTCAACAGCACTGTGGCTCTTTGTCAGCCTGACTACAGTGCTGAAAAGAAACCTGGGACAACCTTATTTTCCTCTATCAGTGATGAATAATATGTGGTTCTGGTACTACAAAGGGCTTTTTTATATGTTATTAAACTATCTTTCCAGGCTATGAAAAACTCTGACTTAGTGGAGCGCCACCTCCTTTCCACTTTACAACTGTGATTTGTTTACTGAGCTTTTTAACTGAGAAACTGGGTGTCTATGCAACATATACAGTACCTACAGTAAACAGGCAAAAATAATAGACCACAAATATAGTTATAATGCAATGACAGTGCCTCAAATCAAATAAATGAAATAAAAATGTATTTGAGAAACAGATTAATTCATGGCACAGGAGACCAGCAGATTTTTTAATTTAGATTGGACAGTG